CTTATTCTGTAGAATGAGAGGCCCAGTGCAAGGGGCACAGTAGAAGCTAAATTGATTCACTATTTAATAGAAGGCTTGGATTTAAATAAGCAGATACCAAAGTAACTATGTATTTAGAAGCCATGCTATGGGTAGGATTCTATGATGATATAAACAAGTATAAGTGTATGTGTGTTCCATTTTTATGAGTGATCAGGGCACAGCTTCCTTGAACAAATAGCATTTATTCTGACATCAAGAGGATGAGGAGGATACCTCGGCTGTTCTTCTAAAAAACATAGAGAGCAGGAGAGTATATTGGGAAGCTGGTTCTCTTATTAGGAAGAGCAGAGGCACTAGGGATGTTGGGAGACAGAGATTTGGGGTGTCGTTTTGGAGAAAGAATTGGGAGAATTGCTGCAATCTGTTGAGGAGCAGATGCAGCTAGGGAATTACTCAGAAGGCTGAAGGGAGGGCTAGAGAGCAGAATCCTTAGGATGGGATGTGAATTTGGGATGAGATGTGGGTCAGGGAAACGAGCTGAAATGACATCTGGTTTTCTGGCTCAGTAACCTGGAAAGACAGAGGCAGGATAAGTCACAAGCCGGGGAGTGGAGCTGGCGATTGCTTCAGTGCTGAGATGTCTGGGATACTCACAGCACTTCCAGGGAGATGTGTCTGCAGCATTCTGGGAGTGAGTTCAATTACAGCGATGGCTGAGTTCATCTCGATCTGAATGAAACCTTTGCCAAGTGTGGAGCACAACATGTGACGATCCTCAGGTACAACACATCATTGTATCATCCACCATGAGTATGAGAGAGGCCAAGAGTGGAGGTGGGTTAACAGAGACATCTTGCTGTCATTTTTCCCTCTTCAAGTGAGCCAGTGTCAATGAGCAACCTCAGGTTGATGCAACACCATTCTTTTCATTGGAATTATCTTTACCAACAGTAACTCTGAGGAATTAGATGAGAGAGAGCTGATGTGGGCATATTTTCAACTCTGAAAAAAGTTCTTTATTTAAAGACATTTTGTTTTGTTCTTATGTCTTTTTTATTATTTCTATTTTTTGAGATTATAATGTAATTGCATGAGTTCCCTCTCCCTTTCCTTCCTCAGAATCCTCCCATATACCCCACCTTGCTCTCTCTCAAATTTATAGCCTCTTTTTCCATTAATTGTTGTTGCATGCATGCTTGCCCTCCCTCCCTCCC